GAACTTATGTCAAAACCTTGCGCTGTCGTGTCCTGGCGCGTGCGCTTTGCACAAATTATGATGAGGAGAGAGATGGTTATCTGAACACGCGTTTATTAACTCATTTGCATTTTCTTGGGGTGCGAAAGCCTGGAGGATTGATTAGAGGGCTTATTTTTTTAATTTTGAAAATCTCCAGTCATTTGAATAGGCGCGTGCTTTTGTTGTAGAACATTCAAACCATTTTTTCGTACAGAGCACTGTAATAAAACAATGTTTTGGTCCATTTATGCTTGTTTTGTTTGTTTAAGTTTCTTTTTTTTTAATGAAAATGATTAGCTCCACCCCATTGCTTGAAGTGGGCTGGGCTTTCTGCAGAGTGCCCATGATATAAGGGGTAGTTGCGCTCCTCCAAACGCCAGATTGCCACCTCACTCACGTTGGGACACACGCGCAAACATCGGTGAGTAGCTCAGGTCATTAATTAATTATTTTTTTCTCCTGGGTAAATCATGCAAAGTTGACTAACTTAAGAAAAGGCTTTCCAGTATCACGAAAACTTTGACTCAATCCTGAAAACGTCTAAAAAGTTATATGAATTATCTAAAATTTCCTGAAGATGTTTTTCTCCTGTGGTGCCATTGGTCTAATGGTTAGGCTGCTTAGCTCGTCACCGAAATGTCATGGGTTCAAACCCCCCTGTCAAAGGCACAGCGTTGTGGTCTTGAGAAAGGCACGTTACAGGAATTGTGCTCGCTGTTTGCATTGTATGCTTCCCGGGAAGCCGAGAGCGTGTTTGAACGTTCTAGTGTTTGCTGAGATAACAATGGTTGTAAAGCGCATAGAGATGACAGTAAGCAAAGCATTGATTTACGCCATATAAAAGCAATTATTGTAGTATTGTTTTTCTCAATGAAATAATCCAAACTCTCAACGTCTTTACTTTTACTTACTTTTACTGTTTCCTTAGGATGTCGAGGGGAGGTGCAAACTTAGGTCGTGTGCTAGGTGTGTAGCGTGTGCGAAAGACATGTTGTTCCAGGACCTTTTTAAAGCCATCCAGCCAGGTCTTCCTTGGTCTTCCTCTTGATTTAAAACCGGATTCTCGTATGTTGTAAGCTCTAGCCGCTAGTTGTTTCTGGGGCATTCTGATTAGATGTCAAAACAATTTGACTCTTTGACGCTCTATGAATTTTATTACTGGTGGTATTTCAGTTTGTAGACGTATGGTTTCGTTTCTTATGCGGTCTCTTCTGGTGACGTTGATGGTTTTGCGGAGACACCTCATTTCGCATGCATTCATTTTTCTTTCTTGTGCCTTGTTTAGAGACCATGTCTGGCACTGGTATGTTAATGTTGGTATGAAGATGTTGTTGATGAGCTGGGATTTCACTTCGGTTGGACTATTTATTCATATTACATTTGTTTGTTTATCTTGTCGCTTCAGACAAACGTGCACAAAGCTGAGCCTTCTCGTCTCCGTTGATATCCACTTATTTATTTATTCATTAATTCATTAATTTATTTATTTATTTATTTATTTATTTACTTTATTTATCTTTATTTATCGTGTCGTTTCAGAAAAACGTGCACCATGTTGAGCCTCCTCGTCTCCGTTGCCCTCGCTCTCGGCCTTGCCCACGGCTCCGCCATCAGATCTGACTCTGGCTACGGCGGCGCCTCCAGCGGCTACGGCTACAGCAACAGGAACTACTACGGCGAGATCTCTGATGCGCGCAACCGCATCGTTGGTGAGTGGGTGGGTGGGGCAGACGGAGGGGTGCCCAGCCAGTCAACAGTTGTGTAGTTGTTGATAAGTAATAATATGATATGTGGCATCGTGGTGAAGTCAGGTGCTTGTGAATATAAAGAAAAAAACATATATAATATATAAATTACACTTTTATTTGTCCCAGAAGGGCACTTTGTTTTACAATGGCAAACATGCATACAAAAATAATTAATTATAAATACGTATATACATAAATACATACATGCATAAATACATACATAAATACACACTATTACACACATACAGAACAGTTTACAACTATGCAACTGTCGGTCGCCACTGTGCAGCGCTCTGTATTTTGAGCTAGGCTGTCGTGTCTTGCTCAAGGACACACCCCAGTGACCACCCTTCTGATCCCTGTGTCACCGACACTTGCTTGACATTACTTGGGTCTAAACTCACTACTCACTTAGCCACTGGAGAATGAACCGGCATTTTTCCTCCACTTTGTCAATTTGTATCGAATTTATGTGTGAGAGAGAGTGTGCGTGTGTGTGTGTGTGGGGGGGGGGGGGTATGCATGCTTTTTTTTTTTTGGCTCAACACCTTAATATGTATCACAACATAGTGGAATCAGGCGCTCGTCAATTTTTGCGCACGTGGAGAATTAAGTACCGTCTTACAGTTTATTGTTATAATTTGTACGTAATTTGTCTTTCTTCTGATAAAAAAAAAATCCACCTATCTCGAATAGAAGTGAAGATATTTGTGACTGAATGAGGTGGGGAT